AATCATTGGTTTAGTAACAGCGTATGACCAAGTATCAAGCAATGTTGTGTGAAAACCCAAGAGTGCATTTAGAGACTGTAAATACCTTAAATCCAGCTACCCTTTTGCCACAACCTACTGAAAGTCAACATGATTGTTTGGAAGTAATGGATGAAGTATTTTCAAGTAGACCAGATCTTCGTGATTTTCCCATCCAGAACCCTGATGTTCAATATTACACCGACGGCAGTAGTTATGTAAAAGAAGGGATCCGCTATGCAGGATATGCAGTAACAACGATAGACAAGGTGATAGAAGCTCGGCCACTGGCAAAAGGAACATCAGCACAAAAGGCAGAATTGATAGCACTGACACGAGCGTTACAATTGGCTGAAGGTTTAAGAGTGAACATCTACACGGACTCCAAGTATGCGTTTTTAACCACTCATGCCCACGGAGCTTTGTATAAAGAAAGAGGACTATTGAATTCAGAAGGCAAAGAAATCAAATACGCAGCTGAGATCCTACAACTATTGGAAGCAGTGTGGGAGCCGAAAGAAGTCGGTATTATACATTGTCGGGCGCATCTGAGAGGAGATGGTGATGTAACCAAAGGGAATCGGATGGCAGATAGTGCAGCTAAGCGTGCTGCTGAATCAGGAAGACAGGAATATGTGGGGCATATAGCTGCTCTTATACCAACTCCACTGTCTCAATGGACTCCAATTTATACAGCTCAAGAAGAGGAGTGGTTAAGGACTGAACCTGGAAAGTATTTGGAGAACAAATGGTATCAGTTAGAAGATGGAAGAATAGTTATTCCAGCATCACTAGCGGTAGAAATTGTCCAAAACTATCATAACGGGACACATTCTGGGAGAGACAGTACAGAAGAATCTCTCAGAAAACATTTCTACATACCAAGATTGTCCAACTTGACTCAGGCCATTGTACGTAGATGTGTAACGTGTGCTAAAAATAATGCAAGACAAGGACCAGTAAAGCCACCAGGAGTCCAGTTTATGGGGGGACTTCCCATGTCCGATTTACAAATTGACTATACAGTGATGCCTAAATCGGGTGGACATCGCTACCTGCTGGTAGTGGTGTGCACCTATTCAGGCTGGGTAGAAGCATGTCCTACTCGTACAGAGAAAGCAGGAGAAGTCGTGAGATTCCTGCTACGAGAAATAATACCCCGATATGGACTACCCTGCTCTATAGGATCGGACAATGGTCCAGCTTTTGTTCATCAGTGCCTACAACAATTGACTCATATGCTTGGTATAAAGTGGAGGCTTCATACGGCATATAGACCCCAGAGTTCTGGTAAGGTAGAGAGAATGAATAGAACTATTAAGAATCAGTTGGCTAAAATGTGTCAGGAAACCCAACTTAAGTGGAACGCTCTCTTGCCCATAGCTCTATTGCGAATCCGTAGTACACCTACCAGAAGGATGGGCCTCTCTCCTTTTGAAATCATGTACGGGCGACCACCTCCCGTGCTTGGTAACTTAAGGGGGGATTTGAGTCAGTTGGGAGAAGGAATTACCCGGCAGCAGGTTGTGGAGTTGGGTAAGACTATGGAGGAGGTACAGAAATGGGTACAAGATAGATTACCTGTGAATATTTATCCCCCAATTCATAGTTACCACCCAGGCGACCAAGTGTGGATTAAAGAGTGGAATAATGTGCCGTTAGGGCCCAAGTGGAGAGGTCCTTATGTTGTTCTTCTGTCTACCCCTACAGCGATAAAAGTAGCCGAAGTGGCTCCGTGGATACATCACTCCAGGGTTAAACCAGCAGCAGCCGATTCCTGGCAAGTTACAGCAAATCCAGAGAATCCCTGCAAAATCCGGTTAAAACGCACGACTCAGTCGGAGTGACGAGGAACCTTGTGGATCACAAATTTTATTGTTTCAGAGACTTGGTAAGTGAGTGAGAAGGCCATAATAAAGCCTGTCCACTCACCAACGAGTGTATAAGTCAGGGAAAGTCTTGAGGGGACCCCTGTGAAGACGAGCAGAACTCCATTCCCTGCAGCCCTTACATCCTGGAAGCTGAGGTGCCTTCGCACGGACGAAGACTGAGGATGACGACGAAAGATGTATTTTTAATAATGTTTATTTATGTGTATTTTTATATTCAGGAAGGTAGAGGTACCGACACTCCTAGCTGTGAGGTATGCATTAAGACTACAAGAACAGGTAACCATATATCCCAGACCCTAATTTGGCATTCGCAATATGAGTGTAAAGGAGATGTATCAAGATGTAGATACTTAAATATAGAATATAGTGTGTGTCATTTAGGAGTAGGAGAACCTAAGTGCTTCAGTCCTGAGTATCAACCCCGTACAATTTGGTTGACTCTCAGAAATGGAGATCCTCAGGGAACCCTAATTAATAAGACGGTATTAAAATCCGTATATTCTTCAGGTGCTCTGCTATTTGATGCGTGTAAAGCAATATCAAGTGGTAGAAAGCCGTGGAATGTATGTGGGGATCTTAGATGGGAGAGGACGTATGGGTCTAACGATAAATATATTTGTCCCAGTAGTAAAAATAGATATGTAAGTCCAAGATGTCCAAATAGAGATTATAACTTCTGCCCATATTGGTCTTGTGTGGGGTGGGCGACTTGGGGACAGACAGTAGACAAGGACATGATTGTGACTAAGTTGCCTATTGATCCATATTGTAAGTCTATGGAATGCAATCCAATCCATATACTTATAAATAACCCTGACAAGTTCTTAGATAAATATGGTAATTTATTTGGGTTTCAAATATATGGGACGGGTTTAGACCCTGGGACAATATTGTTTATAGGGATAGAGACTGATACGGTAACCTCCCAAACTCATCAAGTATACCATTCCTTTTATGAAGAGATGAGCATAGATAATAAGATCCCCCATAATGCTAAAAACTTGTTCATTGATTTAGCCGAGAGTATTGCCGGTAGTCTTAATGTTACCAACTGCTATGTGTGTGGAGGTACTAACATGGGAGACCAATGGCCTTGGGAAGCAAAGGAGGTAATGTCCGGTTCTGAGGCAGTTGACCAATTAATATCTACACAAGCCGACTATCATATGAGTGTTAGAGGTAAATCTGAGTGGAGATTGAAGACCTCCATCATAGGTTATGTTTGCATAGCGAGGAAAGGAATGATGTATAATACTTCTGTAGGAGAATTAACTTGTCTAGGGCAAAAAGCTTATGATGATGATACAAAGAATACAACTTGGTGGTCGGCTTCAAATGTCTCAGAACCATCTAACCCGTTTGCAAGATATGCCAATTTAAAGGACGTATGGTTTGATCTATCCATCACATCTAACTGGAGAGCCCCAGCGAATTTGTACTGGATCTGTGGTAAGAAGGCCTATTCGGAGTTACCACAGGACTGGGAAGGGGCATGTGTGTTGGGTATGTTAAAACCATCCTTCTTCTTGTTGCCTATTGAAACAGGTGAGACTTTAGGTGTTAAAGTGTATGATGTGAATCATAGGAAGAAAAGGGGACCCATAGAGATAGGTGCCTGGGAAGATAATGAATGGCCTCCCCAGCGTATTATAGATTATTATGGGCCAGCCACGTGGGCAGAGGATGGTACCTTTGGTTATAGAACCCCTATTTATATGCTCAACCGCATTATAAGGTTACAGGCGGTGGTTGAGATCATTACTAACGAGACATCACAAGCGCTCAATCTTCTAGCGAAGCATAATACCAGGATGAGGACAGCAGTCTACCAAAATAGATTAGCCTTGGATTATCTTTTGGCAGTAGAGGGAGGTGTATGTGGGAAGTTTAACCTGAGCAATTGCTGTCTTCAAATAGATGACGAAGGGCAACCAATAGCTGAGCTTACTAGCCATATGGTTAAACTAGCGCATGTGCCTACTCAGGTATGGAAAGGGTACAATCCAAGTAGTTGGTTTGGTAGCTGGTATGAGTGGTTTGGAGGGCTTAAGGCAGTGGTAGGTGGAGTCCTACTGATTTTAATGTTGTGTCTACTCCTGCCGTGTCTTATACCCTTAGTAGTTAGGTCTGTGCAAAGCCTGATAGAAAATATAGCAGAGAGGAAGGCTGCTGCACAGATAATGGCAATTTATAAATATAAGGCTCTAGATCAGGGAGAACTAATGCAGGAAGATGAGTGTTGAAGATTCACATCATAGGATAAGTCTGGTCTGGTTCAAAGGTAACTTGTGGTGTATGTAAACCAAGGTTAAGTGATGCCTCAAGTAATTGTAAAATATCAAGAGGCATCAAAGGGGGGAATGTGGTGGAATCTCGGTAAAAATAAATTTAGTAGGCCGAGATTACCACGTGGCATGTGTACGTGCATATGCTGACGTATCGATCAGTTGGTTGCACGAGGCAAGATACGATCAGTAGTGTACGGAGCATGTGCAAGAATACAGGATGTAGTATTCCCCTCCTCCATTGTGCTGGACAAGCCATGTGGTCAAGCAGGAAGTTAATTCTTATTTGTAATGATTGGTCAAGAGAATGTGCGGGTGGAGCTTAATATGGGAGGAGTTATGTGCCTATATAGGGAGCCTGCACTATTGTTCAGGGCTCAGAACTTGCTGTATTTTTGGTGACATTAGTCCCTCTGAGTCCCGATCGGTGATCCAATAAAGAATCTCTTCCTTCCTGAAGAAACCTGTGTCCATCCCTCTGTGCTTTGCTTCCGTCAGTTTCTCCGGTATCAGTAGGTACCGGCTCGGCGCTTACTCATTGAAATCTATAAAAATATTATGTCAGAGAGTTATGCTCCCGCCACTTCCAAAATCCCCCCTCACTCCATGAGGGTCAATATGACCCCCATACTAGCATAATGGGGGTTAAAATCAAGACTTGTCAAAAAGACCATCCCAATCCAATAAAGCGGGAACTATCCCTCTCCAGCCGCATGACTACGGGCTATAGTGTGTGTGTGGGTGTGGCCCCTCAGCCTCCAACCATTAGCAGTAGTGGGGGCCATAAGGGAGGGGGATGTATTGTCAAAATTATTAAAAGTACCGTGCAGTAACTAGGGGTCCGCAAGTAAAAATAATCCACCAAAGGGGGCTGAGCTTGACCTCGAGACATAGCAGACACTATCTCCCAGAGCTCCTCGTATAACACTGCTAAAAGCCTGATTTTAGGAAATTATTCCACACAACAACTGGCAAAACTGTCGGTACTTACCTCGGAACACCTACCTGCACTGTCCTATGCCGTTTTTTTCAGGCTCCCAAAGTGAAACGGTAGAAATGCAGACCCGGGGCCTACCATCGCCCCCCCCCCCCCAAGACTTGACTGGATTAATTTACTTGATGGGCTTGGGACTCCCGGAGCATCCACCTCGGGCACAGCACCCAGCGCTTCACAGCCGGAACACCCGTCCAATATGGGGTGATGATCCCAGCGGACACAATCAGACCTTCCCTCGGGATTGAGGGATATTGGAGCTCTCCTCCAGCAGCAACACCAGCCTAAAATGGTGGTGCCGGGAGATCGTGCAAAGCCAGAAGATCGTGCGATGCCAGATGACTCCCAGGGCCCCACACAGGCCGAATCCACCCTGGGGACTAAACCAGCTGAAACAGAACGAGCACTGACAGACACACAAGACAGGTCAGCCCCGGTCACCAAACAGGACTTCCACAACCTAGTTGGTGGAGATTAAAAACCTACTGGCTGCTGATGTTGTGGTTTTCAAGGCCGACATACAGGCAATTACCTCACTGTAAGAAAAATAAATAATGGAATAAAAGTTAAGTTTGTATGTGTTAGCCAAATAGCCAATACCCTATGAAAAGCCTTTTCCAATGAACCAGTCAGAGGCCAGAGTAGTGGAGGTATGGGATCACGTCTTTATTGCAACAGAAGAGAATATACACATGATATCAGTGAAGGAGAATTAAATATATATATATATATATATATATATATATACATATACATATAAACAGAAAGGAATTTCTATCATACATCATTCTTTGTCTTTTCTCCCAACAGGAAAGTAGACTTTTCTAATTGAGAGGAGAGTAACTCCTCATACACCTGCTGACCTTAAAAACCTTATAACTTTGACCATACACTTTTGCCAAGCTTATCCAATATTTCAGTTGGATTATACTAGTTTAAATTTTAGCATTACATAGCTATATGGGTATGTGTGTGTGTGTGTCTGTGTGAATAAATTAATTTGTGTATATGAGCATGTGTGTGTATTAGTCTGTGTGTATCTATTTTAATGTGTGTGTCTGTGTATAGGTATCCATGTGTGTACATGAATGTGTATGTAAATATCATTATTACTTGCATTTATAAATCACCAACATATTCTGTAACACTGTTCAATTGGTAAAAAACAACAGTACCTTATTTACATTTTATATCAGACAGACCAATATAAAATGTAAAGAAGGTTGTGCCTGTGAATTGAGAACCAGCCATTGAAGATCTTTTGATAAGAATGGGTATGTGTAATAATTTCTGCTTCTTCTGTGTCTTTTTCCAGTTGATTGGAATAATTATTTTATGTATATTTCTTGGGTTAAAGGCTTACAACATTAATATGTGTCTATATTAATGAAAAGTACTAATACGCTATCTGACTTATGGTTTCTTGAGTTAATTCTTCGTTACTGATACATAATAAAACAACAAAGGATGTTACATGATCATGGATGTTCAACAGCAGATGGTAATTGCTGGACTTCTGAAGGAAGAGTTACATTGTTACATTGCTATACAGGAAGAAGAGACCTTGTGTCCCTTTGTTCAGTTACTGTTTAGATGTGCCCATACTGACGTCAGAATTTAACCCTAGCCATATAAGGACAAAACCCACATTCCAGAGTTCTCATACAAGAAAGCCTTGTGACTTGATACCATCTGTTACGTATGTCAATCCAGACATCCATACATAATCAATAGAAACATAGAATATGCAATATTCTACAGTATGTGTATATGAATGTGAGAGTGTGCAAGTAATTTAACGAATGTAAAGGCGTTTGGGGGTGCAGAGTGAGACAAGAAAAAAAAGAATTCTTCCTAAAGTGCCATAAAACCTATGTACGCCTCTGTACTGATGCTCTGATGTGTGACAAACTCCCCTTTTTAAGGGAGTTTGCCATGAGTTTTTGGAGGGGCCTGCTTGCCCGCCTCCTGCCCTGTGACTATGGCCCATGGGGGTATTGCCGTTTAAAAACCCTATTTGGGCTTATGGGGTTTTAATATACTCTTTCTGCCCCTTTAAATCCATGGGAAAATGTGCCTCTTCCCCTCCCCCTTTTTCCTGTCCTATTGTTTCTCCAGCAGGGCGCTGTCCCAGGAACACTGCCAGACCAGTTGAAACTGGCTGCTTTGTCCCTCCTCCATCTCTCATCAGCCCTTGCTATTGTTTAAATCCATGGCGATCCAACTGTATTTGTGAGCTCTGAGCGCTTTTCGGACATATTGAGCGCTCAGATCCAAGCTATCTGGGGATATGTTGGACATATAGGTTAAACATTGTATTATAGGAGAACAGTGATACCTTCAAGGTGATGTGTTCAGGAGCAGATTCACTTTATGTGTGACTTCGTTGGTGTAGTAGAATAAGGTATCTAAAACACAGGATGATAATTTTACCAGAATGTATGGTGTGTATACCTTTAATCTGCTACAGGCAGATTCTATTTGGTACACACCAAATAATCTGCTTGATACAAAGCCGTTTCTAAGTACAAAATAACCATATAAGCACCGGTTACCTGTTGGGTATAAAGTTTATACACTATTTAAAATAGTGTGTATATTGCTTTAAGTAATCCGTTGGAAAACTAAACAGTGCACAAAACAGTATTGACTTTCAATAAGGAGATATGTAGAATTCTATGATAACTGTATTTGATATAATAAAATCACTTGAAAAATAGGCAAAAACTACAAGTGAAAGTAAAAAACCACTATTAAGAAAAGAATATTTAAAAAAGATAATGTAGAAATTTATTCATAATATAAAAATCATAAAAGAATAATCCAAAATTGGAATAAAAATACAAATACAAAAAATAGGAGCCAGGAACGGTTAGCAAGTCTTTAGCCAATGCAGATTTTGCACAAATAGCTTCATACACACTGTAACTGTTAAGGATTACAGTGGATACTGTTGTATCAAAACGAAGAGAAATTACTTGCCGGCAGCTGGGGAGGTTGGCGTGCGTGCCAAACCTCACTCTGATTCTCAGATGCTTGGCAGTCCGTCAGTCCCCAGGTCGTAAGTGCCGTATGGGGGAAGGAGAATTATCATTCTGGTAAAATTATCATCCAGTGTTTTAGATACCTTATTCTACTACACCAACGAAGTCAATCTGCTCCTGAACACATCACCTTGAAGGTATCACTGTTCTCTATATTTCCAGACAGGTTTTGGGTGTATTCCTGTCTTTGTTCAGTCTTGAGCTATTTACTTTAAGTCAGACTCCCTCACTTTGTTTGCACAAAGCAGACCAGTTTCTATTTTATTGTATTATAAGAGTTATGTATTTTTATGTGGTTTTTGTAACAGTTTTTTGACTTAGAGATATTTTTTGTTACTGGAGATAATTACGTTACCACAGCCACTTAAGCCAATTATCTCCAGGATAGTGGAGAAGATAGACCGTCCGCACAGCCTAAATCTGTGGAACTGTGTTGGGCAAGAAAGCCATGCTTGCCATCGGTCAAATGTGACTTCCATAAAACTTTTGAACCCCTGCTCTAAACAGGGTGTTTTGGGGTGTTTCTGGACTTTGGGTAAAAATTGATATTTTCTGCCTGTGGTAATTGAGTTAGTCCATTGTGTTTGGTAATTGTATCACAGGCAGAGGGGAAGGTTTGTGTACATTAGCTGGGAGTGTCTAACTGTACAATACTGTGTTGATTGGCTGTTGTGACTTTGTGTCCTGGGCTCCACAAGGTCTACGTGGGTGGTAACCTTGTGGGAAAAAACTGTATAAAAGAAATGCCTTTGTGCTCATTAAACCAGTTCTACTTGACCCTCAATTTTGAGTCCTGTCTCTTATTGGGGAAATCTGCTGCAAGGGATTGCTATGCTCTTCATACTTCCTTGAATAATCACTAAGCTCTTGTAAGAGCTTGTTCTTGTTCCTACTTCGCTCTCTGGGCAAAGAGAGGTTCACCCACTGGAACCTGGAGCCTTGTCGTAGGTGCAGGGTGGGTAGGAGACGTCGAGACCCCAACCAAGCTGCGGCGATTCGTGTGGTCTGCAGTGCTTATGGTGTCAGGTGGAGTGCTTGGAGCCCTTGGGAAGCACTAGAAGCATCCTTCAACAGAGGTACCCATTCGGGGTGCCAGGTGATCCGTTACAGTATGCATTTATGTGTATTGTTGGTTTTTAAATGCAGGGGTGTATTGATATTTAATTTTGGTGTAAAATACAAAAGTGTGTTTGTATGTCGTGTTAACGTTTCAATGCAGGAGTGTGTTTGTGTGTAGTGTTGAGATGTATGCACATATACACATACACTGCCACACACACACGGATAGTGATACACAGATATACACACTGACACAAATGCAGAGATACAAACACATACTGACACACATGCTGATACAGACACATAGACTCATACAGATACACACACATCAATACACATACAGACAAACAGATACACAACCTGACATATATGCAGGTACACAGACACACAGATACAAACACTGACACCCATGCAGTTACTCAGACACACAGATATACACACTGATATACATGCAGAAGTACACACATATACACAAACTGACAACATACAAATACACAGATACACACAATGACAATATACAGATACACAGACACATATACTGTCAGTGTCAGACATACAGACACATACACTGACAGACATACTGACACACACACACATATGTGCACTGACAAACATACCGACACAGACACACATTAACAGACATACTGACACACACACAGACACTGACAAACACATACACTGAAAGATATACAGACACTGGCAGACATAGTGACACAAACACACACACTTACATAGTGACACAAACACACTTACATACTTACATACTGACACCAGTTTTCTATCAGGGAGGGTGGTTTCCCCAGTGTCCAGACTGGTGGCTGAGTGTGTTGGGAGTTGGGGTCTGGCTCTCCAAGCCTAGCCCCCTGCCTCCTCCATTTCTCTCGTGCGGCTCCTCTCCTCCTTTGTGGGAGGAAGTGACTCGCGGCCGTCACTTCCTCCCAGGCTACCGAAATGCAAGAGGCCTGGTTGCGCTGTAAAAGGGTCACAGTGTGCGACCGAACTCCAACTTACAAATGCCCACCAGGTGGTCCTTAATGCATGGGCCATCTGATGGGCTTACTTAGTGTGCGGGCCACAAGTTGCATCGGCGGGCCCATGGGAAAAAAATGTGGTGGGCAGCAGGGTCCTCGGGGCAGCTGCTTTGGGCTCCCCAAGAGTAACTGGGCCCGGGGCAGCTGCCCCGTTTGGCCTGCATTAAAGACGCCCTGACGGATAGACACACACACACACTCGCAAATTATAATTTTTATTTAATTCTACCCAGCCTCCCTACCTTATTGGAGAGCTGGAGTGGATCCTTTCCCTGGGGTCTAGTGTAATCTTCATGCTCTTCATGCAAGAGAGCAGTGCTGGAAGAGCAAACATCAGCACTCCCCTGCCGCCCACCTTCATTCCCTCTCTGGACACAGCACATTTGGGAAGAGTAGGCACCTGTTTCAAGCCATGTCTCCAAGCCCTCTGCTTTCAGATTCTCAGGTGCCTGCATGAGTAATCGCTCTCTTGCATTCCTGCGCTCTCTGAGTCAGTGCGCAACCGCCAGGATTCCCTGCATACATTCTGACCCCCCACCCTTGGAAGCAGTCAAACTGTTTTAAAACAGTTTTACTTCTTACCTTGGGCCCACCAGGCCCCGCTCTTGGCCTCCACTTACCCTCCACAGCAGCACAGGATTAAACTCACAGAGGTGACCAAATTATTGCTTAGGAGTAGTGCAGGCGGGAGCGGCGGCCGTCAGGCAAGCATTAAAACCATTCTAACAGTATGACTCTGCACAATGGTGATGAGTAGAGCAGTGGTTATGGTGCATGGAGAGTTCTTTTAAATTATATTTAGAATTTTGTATTATATACCGTATATATATATATATATATATTCTGATTAGTCATTAAACTCTTGGTATTCATACAGTACTCCCCATCACGTTATAATTTACTATGTAATAAGATGCCATTGGATGGAATGTGAGCAGACCAGCGAGCAGTGGACACACCGTGTCTGGGCTCACAGTAACCCCATTAGTAGCGGCGTCACACGAGGCGGCTCTGCGCATGCGCACTGCGGCCGCCAACTCCGAGCGCTCGGCGCCATTTCTCCCAGTTCTCGTCTGAAGAGGGAGGCGGCGGTTTTTGCTCTCCGTGGAAACGAACATCGTTCCGCTGGAAACAGACCGTTTACCGAGTGTCGATCGTTCCTGGCTGGTAATATACCTTGTGTTATTTGTGTGGTGGTGGGGCTCGCTCCCCTCGCGGGGGGGAAGGCGGTTTGTCCCTCAGAGCGGCAAGGCCTGGGGCCTGCGAACACAGCGGCCCTCTGTGGGGGCGGAGAGATGGGAGGCCGAGGGGCCGACACGGGGGCTGGTGTGGGCGCAGGCCTACTAGGCCGAGGGATCAAGGGAGCATGCAGCCGGCAGTGTGCCTCCACTGCAGGATCTACCGGGTTATGTGGGGATTCGGGGAGCGTGCAGCCGGCAGTGTGCCTCCATTGCCGGATCTACCGGGTTATGTGGGGATTCGGGGAGCGTGCAGCCGGCAGTGTGCCTCCATTGCCGGATCTACCGGGTTATGTGGGGATTCGGGGAGCGTGCAGCCGGCAGTGTGCCTCCACTGCAGGATCTACCGGGTTATGTGGGGATTCGGGGAGCGTGCAGCCGGCAGTGTGCCTCCACTGCAGGATCTACCGGGTTATGTGGGGATTCGGGGAGCATGCAGCCGGCAGTGTGCCTCCTCTGCAGGATCTACCGGGTTATGTGGGGATTCGGGGAGCATGCAGCCGGCAGTGTGCCACCATTGCAGGATCTACCGGGTTATGTGGGGATTCGGGGAGCATGCAGCCGGCAGTGTGCCTCCACTGCAGGATCTACCGGGTTATGTGGGGATTCGGGGAGCATGCAGCCGGCAGTGTGCCTCCTCTGCAGGATCTACCGGCTTATGTGGGGATTCGGGGAGCATGCAGCCGGCAGTGTGCCTCCACTGCAGGATCTACCGGCTTATGTGGGGATTCGGGGAGCATGCAGCCGGCAGTGTGCCTCCACTGCAGGATCTACCGGCTTATGTGGGGATTCGGGGAGCATGCAGTCGTCAGTGTGCTTCCACTGCAGGATCTACCGGGTTATGTGGTGATTCGGGGAGCATGCAGCCGGCAGTGTGCTTCCATTGCAGGATCTACAGTGTTATATTGGACCTACATGATCCCCCACAGCATAGAAGTGCTGCCCTGCAGTATGTAGATATTTATTTTAAATAACTCGATTCATTATTTCTAGATACTGCAGGTTTGTATCTTGTTCATAAAATCTTTTACCACCAAGAATAATTTGAGCTCTCACATGCTAATATATCGTAAATCATGGCTTAATATGTAAAGTACTATGCTACTTGCCAGGTATTTTCTATTATGATCTTTATATATCGCCAACTTATTCCCCAGCGCTTTTATTATATTAATAAATGGGTAAGTGAACAGTGAGTAATTTGGAAAATGTTAAAGGGACACTATAGTCACTAGAACTACAGCTTAATGTAGTTGTTCTGGTGAGTATAATCGTTCTCTTCAAGCATTTTCATGTAAACACTGCCTTTTCATTGAAAAGGCAGTGTTTACATTGCCCTAGGGACACCTTCAAATGGCCACTCCTTAGATGGCCACTGGAGGGGCTTCCTGGCTCAGGGCTGCACAGTAAGCAGCCCTGCCGCTGAGCGTGGGGATGCTGGATTTTCCTCAGAGATCCTGATTGGTCAAAACGGCATTTGGCCCGGCCCTGTGCCGATTTTAGCCAATAATCTGCCATTTTGTTGATGTCACAAAGGGGGCGGACCCACACGGGACTGGAAATAAGGTGAGTTTTACATTTTTCTAGGAGGGGGGCAAGCCACCTAAATGATGGGTTTAACACTGTAGGGTCAGGAATACATGTTTGTGTTCCTGACCCTATAGTGATCCTTTAACATGAACTATAGATTGATGAGAACCTTGCTCGAAAGAGTTTACGGTCTAGAGGAGGTTGGGTATAAAACTCGAAAGGAAGGGCAGTGTGGGGCATTACCGCCCAGTAACAAGGTGGGAAAGTAGCAGAATTGGAAGGTGAGTGTAGTGGCGCTTTAAGAGGGAGAGCGGAGACAGGTTTGTAAAATAAAATTTGCTCTTGGAGGCCATAGGCTATTCTGAAGAGATGGGTTTTGGTGGACTTCTTAAAGGAACTACTTAGTCAGACTTAAGTAGATATGATGCAAGGATGTCCCTGGTGCATCCTTATTTGAAGGGGCCAAGTTTGCCTCCAGCTCCATATCCCCCATCCCACCAGTAGCTTCAAGCATATGCAATTGACTTTGACGAAGCAAGGAATGCTGCCGGCCATTCATTCACCTTTTTTATGAATAGTGAGCTACAGATTGGCTCAGAGTATCAGCTGATCAGTCTAGCCAATCAGCAGTACCCCTGCCCAGTGGCATTTTGCACTTTCTGAAAGAGATCTGCAGAAGCTAGATGTTGATGGGGGCAAACCGATCCAAGGCTGGAGGCATCCTTTGGAGTTAGACCGCTTAACCCCTTAAGATAAGAGCCAGGGACATCCTGGCACTGTAACAATGTAATTTTAGTGAAGTTATGGTGCCCGCATGTGCATTTTAAAGAACCAGGGGAAAGGCTGATGATAGAAGGCAGCAAGTGGAGCACTCTGTGAGAAGTCCTGCATGCGCGACTTGGCACAAGCAGACACCAAGCGACTGTCACTTGCAGAGCGGAGTTACCGGGAAGGCGTGTAACTACAAATTAGGGAAGAAATGTAGTGGGGAGTACAGTTGTTGAGAGATTTATAGGTAAGGGTTATTATTTTAATTGAATTCTTTAGGATACAGGAACCCAATGGAAAATCCACCTGGCATCCGCATTCATTACGCACTGTAGTGAGGCAGTATGGTTACTGAGGAGACCAATTGGGAGAAAATTACAGTAAGCAGAGAAATTACAAGAACCTGAACAATTTCTTAGTAGAATCATGTGTAAGAAAAAGTTGGATGCAGGCAATGTTGTGTGGTTTTTATTTATTTATTTATATATATATTGTGTGTATGAATATGAACTGGATGTGAGTCCTAAAGGTTAGGCCAGAATCAAAGATGGTACAAAGAGAGAGAGCTTGAAAGGATGGTCTGGGTTGCGCAGGGAGAGTGAAAGATGAGGTTAGTACAGGACCTGACAAATCCCAGGCGCCGTGACGATTAGGAATTTTACTGAGGCATGGATGTTTGTCATCCTGCTCAGCACTGGCCACCTTAGGGACCCCTTTTGGCAAGAGGTTGTGTGGAATAGATGCTGCAAGGGAGCTGTAATAGTCTTGCTCTGCTCCCTCGCACGCCCAGCTGTGATGCCGGGAGCCAGAATATGACGTTGCCCCAGCATCCCTAAACTGCGCAAGGGAGCAGAGCAAAAAAAGCTGGAAGATTATGGGATCACAGCTGCCATACTACCCACTGGACCCCATGGAAAGGATCCACTCCAGCTCTCCCAAAAGTAGGAAGGCTGGGTAGACTTAAATTAAAATAAAAACAATCTTAAGAATTTGTGTGTCTGTCAGAGTATTTTTTTTATGGTTGGTACTGTCATTTTCAAAATTACAAGGCATGTTCTTAAAAAAACTAATGTGTTTAACTATTTAGGTAACTGGCCCACCTTTCATCGAATGGGAAGGGTGTTTAACTTTTCTTTTTTTTTTTTTTTTCACACCTTGCCAAGGATGGCCCCCATAAATCTTGATGATATTCGGTTCAATTCCCGGAATGGTTGACTCAGCCCTTCATCCTTCCAAGTTAGATCAAATGAGTACCATTAAATTGGGTAATAGTAACGTGCCTAGGATATTGGGCAAAAGTAGCATCTCCAAGATGTAATTGGAAACCAGAGAAATCTGAATGTACATTTCCTAGTTAAAGGAACACTATAGGGTCTGGAATATAAACCTGTATTCCTGACCCTATAGTGTTAAAGCAACCATCTGGCCCCCCCTAAATATAGTAGACTATTACTTTTGTTCAAGTGCAGCTACTGCCTCTCCCACTGATCTCCCTGCTTTGCTGACATCATTAGAAGTGATTATCTGAGCCAATCACAAAGCCTTCCCATATGATTGGCTGAGACTGTCAAGGAGGCAGAGCCAGCACAAGCCAAACACAGCCCTGGCCAATTAGCATCTCTTCATAGAGATGCATTAAATCAATGCATTTCTATGACGAAAGTTCAGTGTCTCCATGCAGAGGGTAGAGACAATGAATGGAAGAGCGCACGCTGTGCAGCACTGCCCAGGAAGCACATACAGCCATCTGAGTGGTCGCCAGTGGAGTTAGTCCCTATGCTATAATGTAAACACTGCATTTTCTCTGAAAAAAAAATGTTTATGCAAAAGGCCTGAAGGGAACAATTATACTCACCAGAACAAATTCAATAAGTTGTAGTTGCTCTGGTGGCTATAGTGTTCATTTAAAGGGAAATTATAGTGCCAGGAAAACAAACTTGTTTTCCTGGCACTATAGATTACCATCTGTCAAGGCCCCCTCCCGCGGCGCTGAAGGGGTTAATAACCCCTTCGGTCACTTAACGGAGTCCAATGTCCCTTGCCGCTGGGTTAGGTTCTGTCCTGTCGGCGCGGGATGCCTAATGCGCATGTGCGGCAATGGCTGTGCTCGCACTAGGATTTACTAATAGGAAAATCTGACGTTAGAGGTCCACACGCACAGCTTGAGGACGTCCATCGTCAGATAACGGACCAAAAGTCAGTTTCCAATCAGGAAATCCCTCCAGTGGCTGTCTGTTAGGCAGCCGCTAGAGGAGGAGTTTACCCTCCGAGGTAATTACTGCAGTTTATAAAAACTGAAGTAATTACTACTGCAGGGTTAAAAGTGATGGGAGTTTGCACCCAGACTACTTCAATGAGCTGAAGTGGTCTGGGTGCCTACAGTGTCCCTTTAAATTAAGATAGTGCGAGCTATAGAACATTTTATAATCCTATAAATTATTCAAATAAAATTTAAAAAATCACTTAATTTAAGCAGAAACAAAAACATATTGCAGTGATCTAGTTGAACAAGGACTGCATGTGCAATTTGTTGACAATCTTTGACAATTTTTTGAGCTTCCTACACATACTCATTAGAAATGAATAAACTGGAAGTAGATTTAGTCGAAGGCAAAGTGTTTGTTTTTGCTTTTACAGTAAGAAAACTTTAAATACTTTATTACAATATTTTCCCATAGGAAAGAATTGGGAGCCTATTGCATATGCGTGACAAAATGCTGTGCTGCACCAATCAGTGTCTTCTCATAAAGATGCATTGAATCAATGCATCTCTGAGTAACATTCAGAGCTTTAAAAAAAAAGACACGTCTCCTAAAATAGAGAGATAGATATATATATATATATATATATATATATATATATATATATATAATTTATAGCAGGCACCCAGATTCAAAGCACATTTGTCAAACCCTAGGTTAGTAACATGAGGAGGAAAGATCAGTTCAGTTTTTCGTGATTTTAGTTTTAGAAAGTGGGAGGACATTCAATTTGATGGAATTCCAGGACAGTGGGGCAGAGAACACGATGGGAGAGCTATGTCATCAGCATACAAGTGGTAGCAGAATCCAAAGTAATTAATATATTTCCCAAGAGAGGCAGTATAAAGAGAAAACAAAAGGGGCAGTGAAAGTATCCTTGCATAGATGTGGGATTTGTGTTGCCCAACACCTGGGACATGCAGTTTGTTTTGGCGTTTAGCCCTGCCGTATCGACTACTAGAAAAAGGGCAGTTTTTGTATCACAGCATTTGAGTGCTACACTCTTAGTGTTTGCAGACCTCATTAGACGCTGAATCTGTGGTTCCGGCACACAATGAGTCTCCCAGCATGCACTCTGACTCACGGAGTGCTAGAACTGCGAGAATTACCAAGATGCTCTGAGGCTTGTGCTCCATGTATTGGAGCCCAATTTAGCTTAAAGGGATACTACAGTGTTAGGGATACAAATTTGTATCCCTAACACTTTAGTGCCCCCTGATCCATCCTCCCTCCTTCCGGAAGATGAGGGATTAAAAAAAACCAACTCAATATCCCTTGGTCCTTGGCCTTCTATGATGGGGGACCTTAATGCGCATAAAAGGCGTGCACATTAGCCTTACCCATAGGAAAGCATTGTTTCAATGCTTTCCTCTGGGGATTTCACTTAAGCTGGATGTCCTCATTCAAAGCTTGAGGATGTCAAAAGTTGTTTAAGGGACTCAGTCCATCTTGTAGACAGCCACTGAAGGCAGTCTTAGTACTGCAGGGTAATTATTTTGATTTACATTGCAGGGATAAGTGGGACAGAGACACTGTACCCAGACCACTTCTATGAGATGAAGTGGTCTGGGTGCCTATAGTGTCCCTTTTGTGAGGCTTGGTGAGACGACTGAGCTCTGAGCAGCTTGCCCAGAGCCCTTTAAAATGGCCCCAGCTGACTTGCAGAAGCCCCAGGTATCTGTTAATGCCTGGGGTTAGTGGTATTAAGCCGGCTCAGTCCAATCTCTAGAGGCATTTAAATGCCTTCCTTTCTAAAGAGTCGCTTCCAGCGGTGCAAGTAGCTCATCTAAAGGTCTGGGGCCACTAAAAATGCAGACAGAGCGGAGCCTATGTAGGATAGCATAGAATGCCCAAACAGAGTTAAGGGGTTTACACAAACTGCCTGCTACCGATTTTTATCTGTTGCTTGAGTTATTAATAAATAAAAAGCTTCATATATTGCAAAGACCCCTATTGATGACTACTCTGCTTACAGTGCAGTGGCTGGGGGTGAAGGGGAAGGTATGTTCTACTTACCTGAATCTGTCTCTCTCAGCCTCCACCTTCTTGATCCAGTGCATTCTTTTTAACTCCTGGCACTTCATCTGCCAGGAGCCAACATCAGTGCTGTAGTCTCACACAAGAGCTAAAGTGCAATACTGTTTATGGAGAACACCGTGGGAGTCTTTATAGACAGTCTTTTTCCCTAGTCTCTTCCATTTTTTTTCAAGTGTAGTCCTTACTTTCTCTTTTGGTTGGGATGTAATTCCAGTGAAATTCCAACACTGTTTTTATGAGAGAAAATCTTTGACATGTTCATGGGGGGCTGACAGAGCCACTTTAATAATTATTTGCTTAAAAACATGGGATTTCCTACTAGATGTGCTGCATGTTGTGCAAGGACTTACATGATGAGCTCTCTGTTGCTAAAGTTATTGAGATCATGATAGGGTCTTGATGACTGTAACCTATTAACACATGTTAAAATTATATTAATTACAGTTGTTTGAAAAGACCCAGGCCAATGCTGTACTGGTGATGATGATTGTTATCAAAACATGCATTTTTATAGTACCAGTCTGGGCCTATCTACTGGAATGCTGTGTTCTACTCTATCATTGGCGTGCTAAATAAACTCTGAAATACTTTTGATTGCCATAATTTTCCTTAGAATGATGTTGCATACCTACTTGCAATACAAAATGCAGACTGTTCAGTTTGTCACGTTAATGTATTGTTATAATCAAGGTGTGTGTGTGTGTGTGTGTGTGTGTGTGTGTATATATATATATTAATTTTTTTTTCTTCTTCTTCTGTAGGTAAACTGTTTGTTTAGCACAGACTTAAAATGACGGTATTTGTCCGGTTACGTGGGCTTCCTGTTGTGGCAAATTCTATGGATGTTCGACAATTCTTTTTTGGGCTGAGCATCCCCAGAGGTGGTGTTTATATAATTGGTGGAGTATATGGTGAGGCTTTTATTACCTTTGGAAGTTTTGAAGATGCTCGGTGTGCCCTAAACCTTTCTGGCCGACCATTAAAAAATTCTATTGTTCACCTCTCACTCAGCAGTGAAGCCGAAATGAGATACGCTTTTGAAATAAACCGAATAACTGCAAATCAGCCTATGCAAAGCATTCCATACTCAGGCTTTGGTAACGGAGCAGATAGAAATGGGATCCATCCATATTCTCGTTTAAGAAGTGAAGAAAGGGCTGGGCCTTCATATTTATATTTACATTCTTTGCCACTTAAAGCTACAAAAGTTGAAATCAAAGAATATTTTAAGGAACTTGACGTTGAAGATGTAATTTTCTTAAAGTTTCAAAATGGTGTTCGAAATGGAAATGCTGTGGTAAAATTTAGTAGGAGTAATGATGCCATAGAAGCACTTCAACGGCCGAGGCTTTTCATGGGTTCATGTCAAATTAATATGATGGTATCAGATGAGCTTGAGTGGATCAGAGCTGGTGGAATTCGTAAAAAAGAGCTTTCTCCACGCAGGTCTCTAAGTTCTGGAAGAAAGCGGTCCCGTTCCAGATCTCCAGTGAGAAAGAGACGTCATGCTGTATACACTAATGAGTTTTATGTGCATCTTGTACACCTGCCTACCAGTGCTGCGAAAAAAGATGTGCAGCAGCATTTCTCTTTTGCTAGTCTTTCAGAGTCCCAAATTACATTCCTAACTGATAAATCGGGGAAAAGGACAAGAGAAGGTTTTGTGATGTTCAAATGTGGAAGGGATTATAAAAGAGCTCTTGATTTGCACAAGGAACCATTTTTGGGACGATCCTTATCTATATATTCTATCCCTAAAAGAGCTATGCAAGACTTATTATCCCACAAAGAGGGCAAATCTTCCAACTCTAGGGAGCGCTCAGCTCATATAGATTTTCCTAGAAGAAATGCTAAAGAGTCTCCCAGTTGGAAAGCAAACTGTGTATATTTACGGAACTTTTCATTTGATGTAACCAAAGCAGATGTTCAGAAATTTTTGACTGGTTTCACAGTAAAGGAAGAAGATATTTTTGTGTTAGTTGATGATAAAGGAGTTGGTCTAGGGGAAGCCCTAGTAAAGTTTGAAACTGAAAAGGAAGCCGCTAGTGTTGGAAAACTCCACCGTGAAAAGTACAATGGAACAGAAATCCTGTTAAGATGCATCACTGAAGAACAGATGAAAGCTTTTGGAGCAGGCAACAGAAAGCTGAAAGATGCAGGGGAGGTGCCTGCGTCTGACACCGCAGCGGGGGAGCCTGCGTCTGACACCGCAGCGGGGGAGCCTGCTACGGACACCGCAGCGGGGGAGCCTGCTACGGACACCGCAGCGGGGGAGCCTGCTACGGACACCGCAGCGGGGGAGCCTGCTACGGACACCGCAGCGGGGGAGCCTGCTACGGACACCGCAGCGGGGGAGCCTGCTACGGACCCAGAAGAAATTGAATCCATGGAGGTAACCACAGATACTCAAGTAACTTCACCAGACCTTTCTCAGACGGTCGCTCCATCTGACGTAACAAATATTGAGGATGAATCCGCTTGTGAAGTAGATAATAATGAAACAAATGCTAAAGAATCTTTAGAGGAAGAAGGAACCTGTGAGAATAGCCATGATGGAAAACAAAATGAAACCACTGTATTTATTCGAAACGTGCCCAATACTGTAACTGTTCCTGAAATTCAGGATTTCTTTGTTGGCTACAAAGCCTTCTCTGTTAACCTTACCCAGATTGATACGGGGACTGCCACAGTATGTCTGCAGACATATGAGGAAGCGCTGTGTGCTGTGAATGAACTTGATAATCGACCAATTGGCAACAATACAGTGACTCTTAGTTTAGTTTAAATACGGTGTGGGTTTTTTCTCCTTTTTTTTTTTTAAATTTTTTTTCCTCATGTTTTGTGTCACAGCCCATCACCTTTCTGTTGAAGGTATGGTAGGAAAAGTCTTTGGTATTGATGCCTAATAGGATTTCTCCTGTTTTGTAAATAATTACTTTGTATATTGTGCAAGGATGTTTTAGTAATTCAAAAACTTGGCAATTGTTTCCCCTGTTTGTGTCATGTTGCTTGTATACATAATTCTCCTAATATGCATTTAGTACTGTGCTAAATGTTTCAGCAGAAATATGTGCTTAGAATCTGACACTTTTCACAAAAATTACTTGAAATTAAATTGCATTAACCACCATACCATTTTGTTTAAAACCACACAATAGTTCTGTTTATCGGATAGAAAACCAGTAACATTTGATTTATTTAGACATAAAAAAAGTAATCGCTTTCAAACTAGGTTCACCCCTTTTCATAGAAAAAAAGTGCAGAAACTTTTCTGTAGCAAATTACTTTTTGTAAGAAATGCCTTTGAACACTCTCTGATATAATTCTGCACAGTTTGAGTGCTTTTCATGGTAATGCATTGTCCTAATTATAGGACAGTGAAGACCTTGATTTAGAAATGTGTAGGTGTGACATGGAAGACTGAGACAAAATGAATGCATGGAGGAATCTGGTACCTGCTGACACAACAACTAGAAGCATTGGAATGCCACAGCACTGTTATTAGTTGCATCCAGTAGACTTTGTGCAGTCTACCTTACAGGTATTTAGGGAAGTTACTGGAGTCCTGCATACTAACATATTTAGCAGATTAGGATGGGGGTGGTTATGACTGGAAAAACTAAAGATGAAGAATTTTTTTTTTTTTTCCTTTAACACAAATGTAAGGGGGTGACCTATAATCCGTAGATATTTTCAAATAATCACATGCTTCTATGTACGATTGAAGTTGTGTATTTAATAAAGAAATTATTCTGAATTTTTTTTTATTTTATTTTCTTCCAAATTTCTATGTCTTTGTTTTATGCTCCTTTTTATCTAATCTTGGAGCAGTTAAATCACTTACTGATGGAGAGTATGATAAAAAATTTTTTTAATATGCAGCCCTAACCACACCTCCCCTGCCTGTGAGTTATACAGCCTCCCTACACACTTCCTATAAAGAGCTCTAATTTTAAACTTTCATTACTGCATAGTATGTTTAACAGAGCATGAGCGAAGACACTCTAAATGAATCACCTTCTAGAGTATGCAGGAGCCTCATATGCTTTTAAGGTCAGTTGACACCTTAACGTAATTAGGACATGTGATTACATATTTAAAAGAACTTGCATAAAGAATGTTAGGAGGGAATGTCCTTGCACTCATAGAAACAAAGAATGTGACGGCAGATAAGAACCATTCGGCCCATCTAGTCGGCCCAATTTTCTAAATACTTTCATTAGTCCCTAGTCTTATCTTATAGTTAGGATAGCCTTATACCTATCCCAAGCATGCTTAAACTCCTTTTACTGTGTTAACCTCTACCACTTCAGCTGGAAGGCTATTCCATGCATCCACTACCCTCTCAGTAAAGTAATACTTCCTGGTATTATTTTTAAACCTTTGTCCCTCTAATTTAAGACTATGTCCTCTTGTTGTGGTAGTTTTTCTTCACTCCCCCTCACTCTCACAAAATCTGGCAACCAAAGTAGTCACCCAGGATCCAATCGCAGTGGTCTGCGTTCGATGATTATAGTTACAGCCTATAACTGCCATCACAGCCAGTTAATTTCAACATTGGTGGTTCATTAACTGTCAATAAATGATTTAAAACTTTTTATAACTGACATCATTTTGCAGGATATGGCTGTTTAAAACCAGTATGTATGGCATCCAGTGTCTGTAAGCTAATTGAGGTTCATACTTAATAGAAATTGGAAGTGTTTTGGGTACTTATGTTATTGGTAATATAAAAAGGAGGAAAAAAAAATGCATTCATTCTTACTGACAAAAGCACCTCATTCTGGCGATCACTTTATTGTAACCCAAAGCTAGCCTTTGTTCCCCATGTGCATCAATGAGAATTGGGTGCCCATGACCCTGATACAAGTTCACCGGTTGTCCTTTCTTGTACCACTGTATATCAGGAACACCCCACAAGACATGCTGTTTTGCATTATTGCAGTTTTCACAAACCCTGCACTCTTGCAGTTTGTCCTTCATAGGTTTACTGTGATATCCCACATGTACAACAATACCGTTTTTGAAAGAAGACAACACAGGTTATTCCAAACAGGGTACTTTTAATTGTTTGGTGTAGTCACTTGATCACAAATTCTAGCCACATTTCTTTCATTTGTGTTTTTCATACTCATGAATTCCATTTTCACAGGGCATTTTATAATCCTGATGTGTTATTGTAGTAATGTACCAATGTTTTTATTTAGTGAATATAATAGTGCCCCCCTGGCTCAGAAAGGGCGTTCCACAGTCGGCTGGTGGTGAGATCAAAGATCTCCCTTATCTACCAGGCCACACTAATAACGGGAGTAGGTGGGAGAACTTGAGCTGAACCAAAGTTCATTTCAGTTACAAAGCATTGTTGAGAGTTGCCATGGCAACAATCGAATACTTTCCCACAGTACCAGCCAGAAGTAACTGTCTATCCACTGGGGGTGCAGAGAAATCACTTATCCTGCTGTACCACCAGGGATCAGGATCCCCACCTTTTGGTCTAAAGCAGTGGTTCCCAACCCAGTCCTCAAGTACCCCCTAACAGTCCAGGATTTAGGAATTACCCAGTTATGTCTAAGGTGTTTTTAGAAGAGAAAAGGTCAGACACAATATGGTAATCCCTAAATCCTGTACCGGTAGGGGGTACTTGAGGACTGGGTTGGGAACCCTTGGTCTAAGGTAAGCCTCATTCTGAGGGTATAAAACTGGTTAATGGGCGGTGAGGGGGTTGGTCTCGCTGTACCTTTTTCTTCAGCCCCTACTCCCAATTTCTGCCCATTTCCCACACACTCAGTTTCTATTACACCACTACATCCTGCCACCAGTGCAATTACTGGTGGTGGAATGTAACTGAAAACACCAACTGATATTTTATAAATGCTAACGATTACAAAATGGGTACGCTAAAGTTTGCTGTTTAGGTTTACACTTCATACTGTTGCTGTACAGCTTTTGTTCATAAAAACCTGAGTACTAGACAGAAAAGAAAGTATACTCATGAGTGTGGAGAAGACCTAGTCTGCAATGCTGCAGGAAGAAAACACGTATGTCTGTGCAAGCCATAAAAGAGCTTTGCACAATTTTATTTGCATCTACCGTATGCACCACTAACCAGAGACCACAGACCTATTGTATCACAGCGTAACTACCTAAAGGAGAGTGTTTATTGTTGCTTAATTATAACCAAAAAGATTTTATAGAAATATTGATATTGTTAGTAAAGCATTTATTGCAGATCAATAGCTCCTAGCATTTCTTTAACCCCTTAAGGACCGGTGACGGTCCTGAACCGTCATAACGGAAATATTTACTTACCTGATTGCCGCTGTTCCCTCGCCAGCAATCGGCATTGCTCCCGGTATGGGGGGGACTGCTGGGCAGCCCAGACAGTCTGCTCTCAGAGAATTAGGCCCCCAGGCCCATGTGATTGCAATGCAAGAGCAATCACATGGCCACAATAGGCGTCCGTGAATCTGCCTGAACTGACCGGCAGTCCCCCTGCTGGTGAAAAAACCCTAAAATAACGTTTATAAAAAGCAGTCCGTGGTAAAAAATAAATATATGTATATATGTGTCAAACTAAGTGTATTTTTATATATACATATATTAATATAAAAATACACTTAAATTACACGTGTGTATATATATATATATATATGACTGTATTGTGTATATACATATAAAAAATTTTTTATTTTATTTGAACTGTATTTTGATAGTAATATATTTATATCAAAATACACTTTGAATATACATAATTTCATAAATATACATGTGGACTTCATTTAAATTCTACATGCATATTTATGTAATATTTTTACATAGTTAAGTAATTTTATTGATTGCAATTTGAGGGACCAGCTTGACAACCCAGGCTAAAAGTCCAGAGAATTTAATTTGCTAGCACTGTATTTAACCCTGTAACTTTCCATAACACCCTAAAACCTGTACATGGGGGGTACTGTTTTACTGGCATGACTTTGCTGAACACAAATATTAGTGTTTCCATACAGTAAAACTTATCACACCGATGATATTGTCTGTGAAAGTTGCCGGTTTTGCATATGGCACTTTCACTGACTTATATCATTGTTGTGATACGTTTTTACTGTTTTGAAACACTATTTGTGTTCAGCGAAGTCTTCCAAGTACCCCCTATTTACAGGTTTTATAATGGTTTTTGAATGTTACAAGGTTAAATATAAGGCTTGATATAAAAAAAAATAAAAAAATTTTGAGTTGTTCTATGCCGTCCTTAAGGAACCGGCTCTAAACACCAGAGGACCGCATAGAACGCCCAAACCGTCCTTTCTACTTACCCGGTCGCCCACTATCCCGGTATGGGGACTCACCTGGGAGCCCAGGGAGTCCCCCTCCATACACTTTGGGCCCCCTGGGCCACGTGATCGCGAGGTCCTTGCGAGGATCTCATGATCACATGGATGGCATAGCAGTCCATGTCAGTGCCAGTAGGGGGAGTGCCTGTAGTGACAGTTACTCCCCCTGCTGTCTGAAAAAAATAAAATAAAGTTTAAAACAGTGAAAAATTTAATAATATATACTTAGATCATGTATATATTTACATATATATATATATATATATATATTATATATATATATATATATACACACACACATACACTGTCTACGTGTATTTTAATATATATTATAAATATATATTAACATCAAAATACACGTACAATGATATTGATTAAATGTATATATAATTTTCATTTTATATATATATATATATATATATATATAATATAAAATCTGTAAATACGTTAAAATTTTTAATTAAGGGGGACAGAGCTAGCAGCGGACCCGGCCAGACGCATCTCCCGCGAGCTCCGACACTAAGTGGACCAAACTGCTAATTTAATGGCCAAAAACTGGAGCACATGGGCTGTCACCTACCCTGCAGCTGGTCGCAAGAACATGGGCCGAAAAACAAAGAAAACCAAGGCGGACCGGGCGCCTAGCAGCCGAGATATCGGCGATCTTCTGCGGTGCGCTCAGCAGACCCCATGGCCCAATATGGCGCCGCAGCATGAAGCATCATCTTACTCCTCTGAGGACTTCCACGTTGATATGGATGGAGGAGCCATGCTGGGAGCTGTCCCAAAGGTACAAACCACACCACCTGCTGGCCAAGAACCGATCACTAAAAATATGCTGAAATCCATGCTGGAGGAGCTGCGCTCCAATATAGCAGCCGACATCTCACAATTTAAAGAGACAGTAGCTGGTGCACTTATCCGACTTACAGACTTAGAGGCCACATCTAGCAACCAGGATTCCAGACTAATTTAAAATAGAGCAGAGGCTGGAAGAAATACAACTAGTCCAGAAAGGCATGGAGGCCAGAGTTGACACCCTGGAAGAACAGAGGTGACGGTGCAACCTTAAACTGAGGGGCATCCCTGACACAGTGAGTACAGAGGAAACGCCGCACTACATAAGGCGTCTCATCTTAACCCTGCTACCGGCCCAACAAGCAAAGGCACTAAAACTGGACGGCATGTTCAGGATACCAATGCCAAAAAATGCCCCTACCACGGCGGATATTATTCTCCGCTTCCAAACAATGCACGACAAAGCCCTAATCTCATCAGTAGTGAGAGGGAAAACCCCAATCCAATTCGAGGCTCATCTCTGCTCCTATTCCCTGACCTCACCAAAAAGACATTACTCTGGCGCAGGTCAATGAAACCCCTACTCCAAATCCTAAGAGCCCAGGACGTGCCTTACCGTTAGTGAAACCCCAGACAACTCATACTCACTCACGATGGAGGCACCTACAGAACCAAGAACCCTCTAGAACTAGAGGCCAACATGCACAGCCTGAAGCTGCTACCCGAACAAGACTCAACCTCCCGCCTCCGAAACTTGGACCCGTCTAAGATCCCGACCTTCACGCCACGGTCAACCGCAGGACACCCGCCTGCACTCCTGGTCATTTGACTGGCCCACGACACACAGTTCGCCGGCAGCGACCAACAAGCCAGAAGGACAGCAAGATCATACAGTCGAACTGCGTACTTACAGTATTATAACTCTTACGTTATTTTTGATGGTTATTATTTTTACCCGCTGCTGCGTTTCCACTTATACCTAACTATCCTTCTCCCCTCTGTAATGTAGCTGTTACCTCAATGGGGAGCTGATACACCCCTACCTAGATGCTATCCTGACAAACCTACACAGAGGGTGCACTTTATTTGAGTAGTCCCCCAACCCACCCTCCCCACTCTTTATAGCACGATACACATGCCATAGATATGTTAGAAGAGGGTGCTAATCCGTACCTTGAGAAAGGTACGGATTACAGTGGATGCTACCTGTTAGGCCAGCATGCCCATAAATATATAAAAATCCTCCCCTCACTCCGTACTGATACACATTGTCTAAATGTCATGCTTGTTTTATGGTATAACTTTGTTCCAGGAATATCATCTGTTGCATACTCCTGAGTGGAGTAAGGCAAAAATAAAGAATAAAATAAAAATTAATTAAATAAATAAAATATATATATGTGTAAATTCGTTCTAACTGTATTTTAAAATTAATATATATATTGATATCAAAATACATGTAGAATGAAATATTTATATATATATATATATACCAATATATAAATAAAAATAATTTTAAAAATATATATATATTTATAAAGACACACACACACACACACACACATATATATATATATTTTATACATGCTCTGAAGGGATACTTATTTTATGGTTTACCATGTCTATTGGAGAAACCTTTGCCTTTCCTGTGTACATTATGGACTTGGTTTCTTATTACATTAATGGCAGGCTTTTGATTTCATAGGCAGAAGCTCACTTTTCTAAGAGCAGATTTTTTTCTAGGACCTGTTACTTTGTATCTTCATATCCTACAAAAGGCATAACTATTCCCTAAACCAGGGGTTCCCAATTAATTTTTCCCGTGGAACCCTTTGACATAGTGTATCAACATTGTGGAAACCCCCCACCCCCACCCCCCAATTGCGCCTTTTTTTGTTTGTTTGTTTGTTTTATGTGATGGTGTGTATATCTGTGCTTGTATGTGCCAGTTGTATATCTGACACACAGATACACGTACAAAGATACACACACCTTGACACACAGTGTGTCTCAGTGTGTGTATGTATCTGTGTTTCTATGTGTCTGTGTTTGTATGTGCCATTGTGTATGAATCTGACACACAGATACACACACTGGCAGATAATGGCACACAGATACACACACCTTGACACACAGTGTGTATCTGTGTGTGTGTATGTATGTATCTGTGTGTGTCTGTGTATCTATGTTTGCATGTGTCAGTGTGTATGAATCTGACACACAGATTACACACACTGGCAGATAGTGGCACACAGATACACACTCACCTTGACACAGTGTGTACCTCTGTGTGTATGTGTGTGTCAAGGTGTATGTATCTGTGTGTCAAAGTGTGTGTATCTGTGTTTGTATGTGTCTGTGTATCAAGGTGTATGTATCTGTGTTTGTATGTGCCAGTGTGTATGAATTTGACACTCAGATATACACACACACACACACACACACTGGCAGATAGTGGCACACAAATACACACACCTTGACACACAGTGTGTATCTGTGTGTGTGTGTATGTATGTATCTGTGTTTGTATGTGCCGGTGTGTGTCAAGGTGTGTATATCTGTGTTTGTATGCGCCAGTGTGTGTATCTGTGTGTGTGTGTGTATATATATGTATCTGGCACACAGATACACACACTTATACACACTGACACACACATCTTGACTCACAAATACACACACACTCAGATACACACAGTAACATAGATACACACAGTGACGCATACACAAACCTTGACATAGATACACCCACTGACACACTCAGACACACATACACTCTTTGACAGACCCACATACACTCTCACTGACACACTCACTTACAGACACATACAAACACATATACACTCTCATTGACAAACACATACACTCACTGACAAGCACACATTCACTCTCACTGACAAGCACATACAAACTCACTAACAGACATACATACAATTAATTTTTTTTTTTTTTACATTTTACTCCACCCAGCTCCCCTACCTTTAGGAGTGCTGGCATGGAGTTCCTGGGGTCAAGTGGGGCGGCTTGCATGAAGTCCGTGGGGTCCAGTGGGGCTGCTGAGCGGCTGGCGTGCGGTGGTGAGGGAGCAGTGATCTCCCTCGCATGCCTCTTAGTGATGCAGGAGTGACGTCATATTCCGGCTCCAGCTTCACGACTGTGTGCACGAGGGAGCTGAGCAGGGAGATCACCCCTAGGTCTCCGCGGAATACCAACTGGGAAACGCTGCCCTAAACTATCTAATCCTATCACTTTTACTACTGCATTCCACGTTAGTCACTGCATGGGTAGTGAAAGCTGTAATTATGAATAATAGTAGGTATTGGTCCATCTGATTACACTTCATTCTACTTAGAGGTTTTGTGGAATTGTGGCAATAAGTGTTTATGTCATAGAGTAATCTATTTGTCAGAATTCTTGTTTTGTGCAGATCCTCCCATTTGGGGGTTTATTATTAATATCTCTGTATCCAGTGATGTATTTTTACATTTTATGGGGTTCTTTTCTATATACCAGGAATAACTTCCTAGCTTTGGGGAAAGTGCGCACTTTTGGTCGTAATCTTAAGTGTCATGCCCTTGGACTAACTTGGCAGGTCCAAATGATGATTTGGTTGGTAGTTAATTGATTCAGATCAAACATTAGTTCTCTTCAATATCTTTACACCTGCATCTGTTATCCAGATGTTTCTCTCTGATCTTTAATAGAACTGAATAGTGATGCACCGAACGGTTCGCTGGTGAATAGTTCCCGGCGAACATAGCATGTTCGCGTTCGCCACGGCGGGCGAACATATGCGCAGTTCAATCCGCCCCCTATTCATCATCATTGAGTAAACTTTGACCCTGTACCTCACAGTCAGCAGACACATTCCAGCCAATTAGCAGCACACCCTCCCTAGCAGACCCTCCCAACTACTGGAAGGCATCCATTTTACATTCATTCTCAAGCTGCATGCTTAGTGAGAGGAGGGAAAGTGTAGCTGCTGTTGATTAGATAGGGAAATGTATAGCTAGGTTAGGGTATACAGTGTCCACTATAGTCCTGAAGGACTCATCTGATCTCTGCTGTAAGGACAGCACTCCAAAAAGCCCTTTTTAGGGCTAGAACATCAGTCTTTTTTTTTTTTTTCTGTGTAATGTAATTGCAGTTGCCTGCCTGCCAGCTTCTGTGTCAGGCTCACAGTGGATACTGTGCCCAGTGCCACCACTCACTCACTGGTGTCACAATAGCTTGCATTTAAAACCCAAAAACTTTTTTCACTGTTATAGATTGAATAGCAGTTAGTTGTCTCAAAGCGGGTGTGTCAGGCTCACAGTGGATACTGTGCCCAGTGCCACCACTCACTCACTGGTGTCACAGTAGCTTGCATTTAAAACCCAAAAACTTTTTTCACTGTTATAGATTGAAGAGAAGTTAGTTGTCTCAAAGCGGGTGTGTCAGCCCTACAGCGTGTACTCTGCCAGTTACAGTGCCACTCATATCTGGTGTCACAATAGCTTGCATTTAAAAACAAAAAACTTTTTTCACTGTTCTAGATTGAATAACAGTTAGTTGTCTCAAAGCGGGTGTGTCAGGCTCACAGTGGATCCTGTGCCCAGTGCCACCACTCACTCACTGGTGTCACAATAGCTTGCATTTAAAACCCCAAAACTTTTTTCACTGTTATAGACTGAATAGCAGTTAGTTGTCTGCCAGCGTCTGTGTCAGGCTCACAGTGGATACTGTGCCCAGTGCCACCACTCACTCACTGGTGTCACAATAGCTTGCATTTAAAACCAAAAAACTTTTTTCACTGTTATAGATTGAATAGCAGTTAGTTGTCTGCCAGCCGGTGTGCCAGGCTCACAGTGGATACTGTGCCCAGTGCCACCACTCACTCACTGGTGTCTCAATAGCTTGCATTTAAAACCAAACAACCTTTTTCACTGTTATAGATTGAATAGCAGTTAGTTGTCTGCCAGCGTCTGTGTCAGGCTCACAGTGGATACTGTGCCCAGTGCCACCACTCACTCACTGGTGTCACAATAGCTTGCATTTAAAAACAAAAAAACCTTTTTTCACTGTTATAGATTGAATAGCAGTTAGTTGTCTCCAAGCGTCTGTGTGTCAGGCCTACAACGTGTACTCTGCCAACCTTTGCCAGTTCACAGTGCCACTCATATCTGGTATCACAGTAGCTTGCATTTAAAACCAACATTTTTTTTCACTGTTATAGATTGAATAGCAGTTAGTTGTCTCAAAGCGGGTGTGTCAGCCCTACAGCGTGTACTCTGCCAACCTCTGCCAGTTCACAGTGCCACTCATATCTGGTGTCACAGTAGCTTGCACGCATAGCACCACTAATCCAAAAAAATATTACAGGCAGAGGCAGGCCACCCCGCAGGGGCCATCGTGGTCATGGTGCTGTGATTCCCTTTTGCCCTAGAATAATGCCCAGTTTTCAGAGGCCAGGTACCC